GGTCAGATGGACAAAACAGAGAATGGAATTTCATTATTGCACAGAAGTAGAACTTACCTTGGATGATTAGGACTGTTGGATGGCAGGATATTGGGTATTGCGGGAGGAGCTATGAATAGGATCAACCAGCCTGTACTCAGCTGAGTAGACAGAGACATAAAGAGAAGATGTAAGATTGAACATATAGAGTGATAAAAAATATCCAATGATTCCTGCTTAGGTCCAAGATTATGTTTTTCTCCCTTGACACAGACCCCAGAAGCTCATCCCTCTTTCATTTTATTTGAATTTTTTATTTCCTATGCAACCCCTGAGAATCACTGCTACCCAGACACAACTCTAGTGGAGTTTTCTAATTATACTGTTTATCTTTACTCACAGATGATTGTTTGGGGTGTCTTTGTTTAAGTTTTTAAACTGATAATTGGTACAGATAAACTAGCAGGGATAAGAATACTGCAGAAATAATACAGTATAAGGCTTTTCTTTATCTAATATATGTAGGCAATGTAGTATATATATTCCCTCTCCAAGAGGTCAAAGTGTTAGAGTGGGTAGACAGACAGACATAAGCAGGAAAGTGGTCAGACCTCCAAACTACCTCACAGCTGGGATATTTCAAATGTAACAATAATGTAGAACTTGTGATTAATGTGCATCTTCATTTCTCAGCCAATTGTTTATAAAAGCCACAGGTGACCAATGTATGACCTTCTACCAGTAGCACCAATCAAGAAGGGCAAAAAGTATCCACCCCTAGTTTACCTATCCTCATTATTTGCTGCAGGCCAGACATCTGCCTTCCTACCACATGAATTGTACATATTCTCTTACCCATGTACATGGAGTTCATTGTAGACCTAAAAGTTCACACCAACACATTTCCCTCCCTGTTTCTCATCCCTCCTTAAGGTGGTGGTGTGGCTTAAGTGGTAGAGCACTTTCTTAGCATGTGTAAGGGCCTGAGTTCAAACTCCAGTACTGGCAAAAAAATACCCCTAAAACAAATGAACATACTTAAGATAAAGACCCAATCATGTGGCATTTCAGGGCTGTGGGATTTCTTATAGACTCCTGCAGTCTCTGATCAGAAAATTCCCAGATTCTTTGTGTCTCACATGGGAGCACCCCGGATGTATAAAGGAAATAATGGAGTTTCATTGTAGGAGAGAGAGAAGAGAATTATGTATATGACCTTTGCCAGATGTAATGGGGTGGGGGCAGGGAGATTTTTATTTTAGGACAGTTTTAATTTTATCCTTAACTTGGAAGTGAGAAGACCGCTTCATTCCCCATACCCTGGCCTTCAAGCCAGGGGAAGATCTGGGTGGATTCATGCCTATACCTATGCACAGGTGCCCTAAGTCCATGCTGGACGAAATTTCCACTCTCTCTAATCTAACAAAAGGTCTGCAACTGGAATGGAGCTCTCTGTGCTCAGAGGTTATGGGTAGGGGAGGGGTGACTGAGGAACTCTAAATCTGGTTCTACAGTTTTTAAAAGTCCTGAACTTTCCTTAAGGTCTAGTCCACCTCACTCTCACAACAGTTCTCTGTGCTCTACAGAGGCATGCCATCACCATTCCATGACCTTCTTTTTTCAACTGCATTCCTCTTTGCCTTCTAATTTCTTTTACCCACTGAAGGGACAGTGTTTTAATTGCAGAGACTGTGGACAGCTGACTCAAGGCTACTACAATGCCATCACACCAAAAGAACATTGTCCAGGTAGCAAAAGAACCATCTTAGACCTCTTGCTTTTGCATATATTCCTGTGGTATACATAGCAGGACTCAAAGACTTGTGATGTCTGGCTAAATCTTATCTAACATTCAGTAAAAGATGGAAAGACTATTGACCAGTCCATGCATCACCCAAATGACCTTTTATCCTGACATTCCCACAAGCTACTCAATTCCCAGTTCCCCTGGCAGCTTGGTGGCCACTTAATGTACTTCTTCTCATTGGCTAGAGGCTTTCTGGATGCCTTGCATTATCTTAGTGGATCTTTTTGTTGTCTTGAATACTGGTATGGGGCTATGGTAGATGTGTTGTGGTCACAAGGTTGTCCACAGGCCCAAGGGCAGAAGGTTAGAAAGATTTAGAGATAATGGCATTGATGATATTGAGCAAATGGAAAAGCACTTGGTCTCTGGACATCAGGACCTCTGCACTTTTTATTATATATGTACAAATATATATGTTTAAGACCTACCAGTAGAGGTTAGTACTTTTAATGGGCCCCTATCATATGGAAGAGATGACTCACAGTGCACTAAAATCACAAGCAGATTTCTGATAAGTAGAAATGGACACATACGAAAGGCACCATGGGGTCAAAAGAATAAGTCTGGATTTATTATCACTATAGCTATGAATACTATTCTAACATCTGTCATCACACTATACATAGAATGTTTTTTGCTACAAAAAAGATGGTTCAAGATTAGCAACAATACACAAAACAGGAAATCTTTGTGATTTGTGGTTAAAAGTCAACAGGGGCTTAAATCTCTCAGCAGAAGCTTTTCAGTCTGTTCTCTTCCTGAGAGCTCTTCTTTTACTCTGATCTTCCATTTTAATTTATTTTTTTGTATCATAGTAGGAGAACTTCTTTGTAATGATTACACCTTATAGTCTTCTCCCCTCCAAAGCAAACTAATTCCTATCCATGATGAACACAATAGTATTGCTGAAGCCTATTGAAGATAACAGATGGTGGAAAACTCCATTTTAAATTTTATTGAGGATCTCTTGTAAATGAGTAGGAAAATCTACTTATACATGCTTTTTACTACCAACTAAATGTGATGGGTTCTATGGGATGTGTGTACTGTAGTGAGTTTTTTTATTTGAAGTATTATGGAGGAAGTTTCTCTTCCCTGTATCTTACTTTGTTTCTCTTCTTTCCAGAAATGACAAGAAGCTACTTGCATAATGGTGAAATTTCATGGCAAAAGGAAGAGAATAATGCAATTCAGAACTTCTGAGAGTAAATATGACTATGGCAAGCACTTATTTTCACAGAATAATAAGCTTTGAAAATGACCTTATATGTCCAAAAACTAATGAATTTGTGAATTTCACTTTATAACTTCCCTGTCAAGCACTTATGTACTATGTTTCAATATATTCAGGAAATGCAGCTCATCTTTCCCCCATGGAATTCAAGAAAGGATTTTTTCATGTCCAATATTTTTTAGCTAAAGTAATTCTACAAATGGGTCTCACTGTGTTACTTACTGCATACATACAATGTGCTTTGATCAAATTCACCCCATCTTTAGTACTCTTTCTTTACTACCTTTCCTGGCATCCCCTTACTTTTTAAACAGTTTTATGGTTGGTTTCATTTTTCTATTTTCATACATTTGTCTATAATATGCTTCTACAACATTCACCCCATGTCATCCTCTCCTTTTCCCTCCTCTCACTGCCTGGCCTGGCATGGGATCCTGGCCAGGAATGTATTCCACCTGCTGAAGTCATTCAGATCATCCATCCCCGTGAGCAGGTGGTTTTTCCAGACATCCTTCACCTCTACCTGGGACAGGAAGTACAACTTGCTGCTGTGAAAAGATTAGGTTATTGAGGTTTGAACTTGTGCCCAGAAGGTTTGAAGGTGTGTCTAGAACTGTGTGCAGAGCTTCTAGCTGTCTGTATCACCAGAAACAAGTGTGTAAAATACATGGTTTCACACATAAAAGTTTCTTACAGCAAAGCAGCCAGAAGTAAATTAATACTTTATAGATTAATGTGTGCATGAATGTCTACTTTTAGAGGGAGTATCTGCACCATTTGGTTTTTTGGTATAAATTTCATTCTGTCCTTTCCAAATCTATGAGAAATCTAGTTTTATAGTCTATTCCTTCTTAACTCAGCTTATAAAATCAAATGTGAATATTTTCATACTTAATTGGTAGAATATAAATGGATGAGATATATTTGTTAATATACATCAGAATTCTTTGAATACGTCTGCTCTTTGACTCCATGATTTCATGTTCAAAAGGTTTGTCCTAAGAAAACATTCAAAAGTGCATATCAAATGTTTTTTGTTAGCAATGAATAAATAAATAAATAAACCCTAAGAAGTTTAAGTGTCTAAGAGTAGGGGATTGCTTAAGTAAATTAGGGTATACCAGTGTGATATATGCAGTTTAAAAATCTTTTTGTAAATGATTATGTTTTAAATGAAGAAATGCTTATTATTTATTAGAAAATAATAATAAATACACTGTGTGAACCAAGCTTGGTGGCACATACCTGTAATCCTAGCAACAGAGGATGGAGGCAGAAAGATCATGAATTCCAGGTCAGATCTGATTACACAGTGAGTTCAAGACTGGCCGAAGCTACTTAGCAAGAACCTATCTCATAAAACAAGTAATGGGGACGTAGCTTGGTGTTAGAGTGCCTGCCTCATAATGTCCAAGGCACTGGTTTGATGTCTAGCACCATACAGAAAAGTAAAATCTACCATGCACCCCACCTTGATATCAAATTTGATAGTAAATAAAATGTACAGATAAAAAACTGAAAGAGTATATATCAAAATCTTTATAGTGGAAATATGAAAGCTTTGAAGTAACAAATCAAAAAATATTTTTACAAAACCTAATGAGAAATTTCCTTTGTGAAGACTGTTATTTAAGAGCTAAAGAATTTAGTGATAACATTTCTCTTTATAAATTTATATATTTATGCTTACAAGTTTTCAAATGCTCATCTTTTCTTCAAGATGTTTTCTTTTATCTTTTCAGGAACTGACTTTGAGTACTGACATAGTATGACATTTTGCAAAGAGTAACAAGTGGTTAGTTCAAATGGAGAAATACACAGCTCATGACAATTTTTTCTTTCTGGTCGACATCAGCTTTCATTACACAGTTTCCTCTCTTCACTTTGGTCAAGACGAGAGACAGAAATTTTGAGTTGGAGTATCTTTCAGAGACAATTCACTTCTGTCTTCTGTCTTCCAGCCTCTAAGGGATCCAGGACTGGAAAAACCAGCGTATCCCTCATTTGTGGATAAGTTCCTCCCCCTGCATCATTGCATGGCTCAGATACAGGTAATACCTGCGTTTATTCCCTCAGACCTTTGTACCACATTATCCTACTTGATGCAGAGATATGACAGTTCATAAGAAAGTTCATGAGAAAGGCACTGATAGTAAAGCATTCTTTATTGACTGTATTAGCATTGCATTAATTCTGAAAGATGTGAAAATTATAATTCAGCATCCATGAAAAGGTATTTTCTTTTTCTTAGCATGCTATGATTTTTGCTTTCATTATCAAAAAAAAAAAAAAGAAAAGGTATTTGTGGGAGTTAATTACTTTTTAGTTGGGGCAAATGTTTTGCATATTTTCTTATCCATCTTGAAGGATTGTATAATAAGAAAGAATATATTTCTTAGGAAATTAGTGAAAATGAACAATTGTTTAAAAAATTTGCAAGATCAAAAGGTAGAAATGAACACAATTGCATGCGTGATTTTCCCAGATTTTCTTTTTCTATCATTTTTTCATACCGCTCAGTGTGGGAAACAAGGTAAATTTTATGTATTTAATATTTAATATTTTCTTTCTCTATTAATATCCATCACTAGGTTGAATCCTTTATGGACTTTAACTAATGAATACATATTGACAAATTTTATTTTCACATAGGCTCCTCGGATATCATTAAACATTAGAAGATTATTTATAAAATTTTCATGTACATGAAATCATTTAGAAATAAAGTATAGGCATTTGGGCTCCAAAGGGAGAGTGTTTTATTTATCACATCTTGTATTGGGAACTAGAATCTAAAATGATAATCAATCTGAATAATAACCTCCAAAAATACAAGTGGTGTTGGGAATACACTTTGGGAAACACTATTAAAATCATGTATAATTGAAAAGAATGTAACAAGCTTTATACATATGTGTATGCATAACATGTATAAATTTTTAAAGAGCAAAGATATATCTGTCAGAAAGTTTTGAATTTTGTTATTTGAATTGATAGTTTAAAAGACCGTTCCAGTGATTCAAGATGATACTGATTTTGCTTAACATTATATATATTTATGTTTTTATATATAAGTATATATTGAACACAAACTTGGCTGTGTGACTAGGCCAATAATCTCCTGGAAGTTTTAAAAAGTTTTTTCATATTTTCTAATAATGATGGTAGTGATCACTAGAAGTACAAATGACTTGAACAGAAATGTTGAAATTTTTTCATTTATTACATAAATCAGGCTAAGTTTACATGCTTTAGAAATTTGAAGGTATTCATAGACACCCAACAACCACCACACACACACACACACACACACACACACACACCTTTCAAATCTTGGTAAGTTGTTATAGGTGGACATTTTATTTTTTTCTTTACATCAAAATCATTTTAAGGCAAGATTTTAGTGCAAAACATATTTCTCTTCTTACTCTAAAGATGAGTGATCAGGAGGTGACATATTCAACCCTGAGATTTCTTCAGTCTTCTCCAGAGTCACAGACTAGATTAAGGGCTGATGCTACTAAAAATCGTAGAAAATCTGATGGAAAAGGTAAAAGTTTTAAGAATGTAAAGTCACCTGTTTCTTATGCATTGCTAAACTTTTAAATATGATGAAAAAGTAGAGTTCTTTCTACTCTAGTAGAGTATTAGAATGTTTTATGTTTTTGAGAATGGTGAAATGAGTGAATAAATTCTTTTAAATTTGAGAAACATTAAAGAGTTTTTATGGAAATCTTGTCAAGAAGGATTTGTGAGGCCTTTAAAAGTAGACAAAAAATAGAACCTGAAGAAATACTGAATTTTCTAGAGAACTAAATCTTAGAAAAATGAAAAGTGTGTGTTAAAAACAAGGCCCTTATTCAAACCAAAGATATGTTAGGGATCTCAGATATTTACCAAACATTAATGGCAGTGAAGCAGCAAAAAGGTTCAAATCACAAGGGTAATTCTTGGTGAAGGACTCGTGTCTTTTTAGTTATGCCTTTTTAAGGTTTTATCCTGGTAGATATGAATATAACTTTTGTTTTTCCTTTTTTTTTAATTTAAATTGGCTTACTAGGGTTTGAACTAAGGATTTTGCACTTGTTAGACCGGTGCTCTACCCCTTGACCCATGCCTCATCTCTTTTTCAAAAAATGATTTTTCTTTATATGTAAAAATTAAACTCAATAGTCAAAAAATGGAAATTCTAATTTTTCTATTCTCTATTTCTTTTCATTCTTCAAATATTGCTGCAATTCTAAATTGAAAACTTTTACTCCAAATGTAGAGATAAAGATATGACTTTCAGATACCAAAGACCTCAATAGTACAAGGATAAATGGCACTGTCCATAGAAAAACAGAATTAATGAAAAAGAAATGAAAGTTGGTTTCTAGAAACTCTTGTAAGGATGGATCCCTATGACACATGCAGCTTCAAAATATCCACTACTGGCTATCAGTTTGTCAAGAACATTGACTTATCTTTTCTTCCTTTTCCTTATTGGTTTTGTGATCATGGAGGTATACACATGCCAGCTAGGATCCTCCTACGTGTGCCATGCCTATTGCCTTCCATGCTTTTCAAAAGGATGTAGTTTGAAATCCTATCAAATTGGGTGACCTGGCACACCCTATAACCCCAGATACCTGTGAGAATGAGAGTGGAAGATCAGAATTTGAGGTTGGCGTGAGTCACATAGTGAGACCTTGCTTAATTAAAGAAATAAAAGGGTGGGAGGATAAGAAAAAAAAGTTTGAAATCCCATAGAACTGTTCCTATACATAGGATTTTTACAATGAGCAAAGAAGTCTAAAATCTTAAAACTCTATTTCCTAGATTATAAATATGAATCAATTTTGACACTTTTGTCAAGTTTTTAAAGACAATGTCCACTTCTTTCAAATGATACTCTGGTTAAGGTTAGTAATGGGCAGGTTCTTTCCGTGATGAATATTTTCTTCCTTTTGTATTTAAGAATTTTCAGTGCCTTGGCATCTCATTACAGTGACTCTTGGGATCCTGTGTTTACTTCTGTTCACAACAATAGCAGTGTTGATGATAAAAAGTGAGTAATTGAAATACATCGCTCTTGTCTGAGTAATAGTGTTAGACACTAATTGTGCATATATTCACATGCTCCATCCATTTTCCTGTCTATAATCAGGGGCTGTCTTAGCTGGCTCTGGTGTTTGTTGGAGGCTTTTATTTTCCTGGATATATGACAATATCGTTTTCTTTTACTTATCTTTTCCATTGACTCTGGGACTGTGATGACCTGTCTTGCTTGGCCTTAAACATGGTCATATTCTTTCTAATAACAGAGGATTTATTGATATTCTGCCATCTGAGTTAAGGTCATTATGAGTTTGAGGAAAACATTCCTTGAGAAAAACTTGTTTAAAAGAAATTATGGCTTTCTTTTGATTTTTTCCATGTATATAATGAGAAATGGTTTAGTAAAAGAGTGAATCAGAAAAAAACAGACTGAATCTGTACATGGATGTTAGATAATGTTTAAATTAAGCTTTACGTCTTATTTAAATTCCTACACGTCTTTAGGAAAAAACCCTGATATGCTACATTCATATAAAATTACATATTTAGCTAATACTCTCTTTTCTCTTAGAGATATTTTATCTGCTAAAATAATAATTATGTGATATCTTCATGTTTCTTATTTCAAAATTTCATGCTTAGAATATGTGATGTTGAAAGTGTTGATGACTGATTTTTAGTTTTTTATTTATAAATGATATGCTGATAAAAATGAACCAAAAGGTGAGCTGTTATCATCATAATCTTATTCAGATAGTTTATTGATTTTTCACTGAAGTTGCTAGTAATAAGAAATTTGATGTTTCCATTTATATGGTCAGTTCATTAAGGGGTTACTTTCTAACCCCTTGTAAAATTACTAATTATACTAATGATGTGAGCTGTTTGTCAAAGTAAGGCTTCTTCTGTTGCCTTAAATTCGTGTATTAATTCAAGAGCACTTTACAAATTATATCTGTTGTTTTGATTATATTCCAGATAAACATGAGCAAGAAAGTCTAGAAAACTTTCATCAAAGGTGTCACATTCTGCAAGAGAACAATGGCTTATTGGAACAACTTTTGACAAATAAGTCTTTAGAATGTGATAGCCTCAAAAATACAAAAAAGGAGCTGGGCTTATTCGCTATGAAAAAGAAGAGTTGTTGTGAGAAAAATAAGACTGCTTCAAAATCTCTGGAATATACAACTTGTATGTAGTATTTCAACTAAAAGACTGCAATTTTTATTGTTGTGTTGGCTGGAGGTATATTGTGGCATTGTCAAAAGTTCCTGCAATACATCAAATATATGATAGTTGAATTCACTCCCTCTATCATTCTCCTTTTACCCTTTCCCCCATTTCTAGAATAGTTTCGACAGGTCTCATTTTTCCAATTACATACATGTGTACACAGTATTTGTGCAATTTTCATCCTCATACAACATTTCCCCACCTCCTGCCTCCACTGGTACCAACCCCCACCACCAGGCAGGACCTGTTCTACCTGCTTGTTCTCTGATTTTGAAAATGAAAGAAAAAAGACATGTTTGTTTGTATAAGATAGCAACACAGGGAGTTTCCTGTGACACTTCAATGTATATATGTAATACAACCAGAATTGGATCATCTCCTCTATTTTTCTTCTTTCTACCTTAGTCTTTTCATGGTGGCTTCAACAGGTATAAAAATTCTATACTATTTCTTGTATAGAAAGTACATAATTCATATTCACCTTCTCCAGAGCTTTGAAGTTTAATAGACAGATGTATAATCCAAGTAATATATGAGTCAACTGACAAATTTTAAATGGTACCTCTTAGATGTAAGTGGATATTTGGGTTTGCTTATTTGAAACATGGCACAGGGGCCTTCAAAAGCTATACTTGGATTTGTAAATCCCTATAGTTCCTATAACTCAATGGCCATTCTTGTGTTCTCTGCTCACAAAAGATGAAATCGTTGTTTTCATCTTACACTTTGAAACCATCACCACATGCAGGGAAATAGACAATCAATCGTCTTCAAACGCTTTCTTGAGTGCGTATGTTTCTCTTGTGGTAATAACATTTAGCATAGGTTTACCCTATTAACAAACTTTTAGTGTGCAGTTTTAATAATGTAGGCATCATACTGTACAGGAGATAGCTAGGACTTAAACATCTTACATAACTGAAATTCTGTACTCACTGAGCAATAGTTGCTTATTCCCCAACCTTTAAGCCTCCAACAACTACCATTCAAATCTGTGCTATAAGATTCATTCTGTTAGAAACCACATCTAAATGGAATGATAAACTATATGACAAACTTATCAAACTTAGTGTTAACATTCTCAGTGTCCATCCATGTTGTTGCATATGTTAGCATCTGTTTTTTTTGGCGGAGCTGGTGTTTGAACTCAGGGCCTCATGCTCACTAGTCAGACCATCTATGACTTACTCACTCCACCAGCTCTGCTTTGTGTTGTGTATTTTTTTGATAGTCCTGCAAAATTTTTGTCTGGGATGACTTCAATTACAGGTATGAGCTACCAGCACTCAGCTCATTTAGTTCTTTTTCAAGGTTGAATAATATTACTTCCCATGTATTTTCCTCATTTTCTGTACCCACTCATCATCCATCAGTGGATACTACAGTTATTTCCATGTCTTGGCTATTGTGAATAATGCTGCATTGAACATAGGGGTGCAGGTGTCCTGGCATGCTAGAATCTCAATGTATCACTATTATTGAGAGCTGTGAGAGTTTCTTTAGCTGTAGATTGCTGACATATATATTGCTCTGACTAACACAATACCAGAAAACAAAAAATCTAATGATTCTCCTCATATGTTGCAGGCAAACACTGTGACCACTGGTTCTGTCTTGGAATAAAATGTTATTATTTTGTCTTGGAATTTAAAGACTGGAAGGGATGTAAGCAGATGTGCCAAAGTCATAGATTATCCCTTTTGAAGATAGATGACTACGATGAACTGGTATCATGGGCTCTTACATTCATTTTTATTCTCTTGGATTCTCTCTCTCACTCTTGGACAACAAAATACTGAAGACATGCAGGATTCCAGAAGGAAACTACCAACTTTGTGTTTGTGTGTGTTTTGTCAGCTATATGAGCAAAAACTGTGTGCTTATGAGTCTCCTGGAAGACTCTTGCCTACTAGGAGCATATGTTTCTGCAACTTACTATGTGTTTAATGCATACAATCTTATGTGATGACCATTATTACTAAGGAGGAAGGTTGGGTCTTTGCAATCTTCTCTCCTTCTAAAGAGTCTGCAGAGAAGTCTGCCTCTCCTAGGATGAAGTTTAACCCTTTAATTACTTTCAGGCTTGAACAACAGTTATTGATCCCTGTAAAGAGAGGTAGCAAAGAACCATGAGACAGCATATTCTAGGTGTTGTGATTAGGAGCCTAAAGCCATACTTTCTGGATCAAATCCTTCTCTGTTAGTGCTTATTTGCTCAGTGACATTAGCTAAAATTACTTAGCTTCTTTCTGCCTAGCTGCAAAACATAGATAATTGCAAGGACTGTAAACATGCTGACACTTGTATCAACTAGCTTTATGGTGATTTAATTGCATCTGTAAGTAACATTTACTTGATCAATATTCTTACACACTACATAAAGATATCTATCTTTGAAAATGAATTTTAAAAACAAAACAGTAGCAAATTGAAATTGAAATTGTGTTTTAAATGTTTTACTAAGGAGAATTTCCCAAATATACACAATGTGTTTTTCAGAGAAGTGTTTGCATAGGCCAGCCTGACACCTCAAATTTTTCTTTAGTAAACGTCACAAAATTTACATGCAAATTTACAATCTATATGGGTTCAAGGAATCAATTCATGAAATAATTTTCTGTTTGATACAGTAAAAAAGTTAAATTGAAACCTACATTTTAAATATACACAGTCATTAATCAGGCATTGTGTGCTAGGTAATCTGATGTTACATTTTAGACACAGTAAATACTTCCAAATATCTCTCCCTCTCCTTCACTCCTTCAAGTACTGAAGAGAAAGACAGGAAATCTTTCTCTTAGCAGCACAAGTCTTCAACGCACACCTATTCACACACTCTTTTTATTAAGTATATTTTCTTTTGAAGATTCCTCCTTTCACTTAAGACTATGTGATCATCATTTTCCCACATCCTTCAGAAATCTTCTGGAGCATGAATTTGAATAGTTTCATAAAGTGTGAAAAGTATTTTAATGAATCTCTTGGCAGATACTTAATCTTTATATTTTTCCATGCTTTCAATAATTTATGAAACCAATCTCAGGTTTTTCACATTTCATCTACTGATCATAGAACAGCTGAGCCCTTTTACCTATAATTCTCTTTGTCTATCAAATGAAAATTTTCTCACAAGATAAATTTTCTTTCATTTATAGAATTTCCTTCAATCCCAAGTCTATCCAGATCATTACTGGATTGGATTATCATATGATGGAGGGGAAGGAAAATGGAAATGGATTGACAAAAGCACTTCTGGAATGTGAGCTTCTGGAATCCATTCATTAACATTGGTGTGGGAGTTTGAAGTATCTTGTGTAGAAAGAACCTCTCATTTTACACAGCTTTGCTAATTTCAAATGGAGGTCATTTGTAAGAACAAGATGAATAAGTAAGATTGTGTTTGAAGAATTATACTTAAAAAGGAAGAGAAGTGTCAAAGTTACTAGTATTAATTAAAGCATGATGCTCAGAAGTATGTTTTATAAGGTGCACAAAATGAAACAAAGTCATAATTCTGTTTTGTTGTGGTATTGGGGTTTGAACTCAGGGCTCCACACCTGCTATGCTTTTGATCTTCTGCATGAATCAGGCCTCCAGCCCCAAATCATAAATTTTTAAGTAATGTGAAGTGATTGGATCAGCATGACTTATCTATAATTGGCAGATATCCTGATACATTTGAAACTCCTATAGTTAACATATTTTTATGTTAGTTGTATAGTATTTATAACTATAAATGGAATATATATTATAAACATACATACATACGTTTATAACTTCCACATCAAGTGCAGTATTATATAAATGCTTAAGTTTAAGTTTAATTCAATTTTTTGGCTGTACTGGGGTTTGAATTCAGAGCCTCAGCCTTGCTAGACAGGTGCTCTACAGCTCAAGCCACTCTGCCAGCCTTGCATTTAATTGTAATCTGCTGTAAATCTAATATTTGGTAATATTGACTATTGTATTTTTATTTCAGGAATTCTGTTTAGTGGTTTCAAATAACCTTGCTAGTTACTTATTTGTTCAAGCTATCTTTTATATCTTGAAAAGTATTAGAATTTTATTTTATCCTGGATAATTGGAAATCCTAGTATTTGAAATTTACTGGATCGAGTCTATTGTTTTTGCTTATGTTTGTTCCTGATGTCATTTTCCTTGTGGTGTTTAGAGATTTATTTTTTTCTGTTTGAGCTGCTGTGGAAATTTGAGATCTGAAATGAAGGTGGTGGCTTCCTCAAGTTTGACTTTTTATTTGAAGCCTTGGGACACTATGAGCTGAGGCCATGTTTTTTTCTTCATCTTTTTTTCTTGCACTAACAGGTTTTGAACTTAGGCTCTTTGCTCCAGCACTTCAGCACTTGAGTCAGTCTGCCAGTCATTTTGCTTTTCGTTTGTTTCACAGATAGGGTTTTGCAAGTTCTGAACTTCGACCAACAGTTCCGCCTCTGCTTCCTGAGTAGCTGTCAGAGTAGCCTCTGGTAACTGTTAATTCTAAACTTGGGCCCAGAAAGTGTTGATATTCTGGGTTGAAAATCTTTGGAAGTACTCCTGTAAGAAAATAACTTTTTATAATTTTATTCACCATACATACTCACAAGCAAACTATCCCAGTGGCCAGAGAATGAAAGGGCTTACAGACCAAATTTAGATGCTCAAATCACACAGCGAATTGAATCTCTAGAACCCAAAGAACAGTGCAAAATGAAAGAGGTGGAACAGGTTGTTGCAGTTAGGGTAAGGTGCAAGAGGGTGAAAGGATCACCAGAATCCCAGGTTAAGCAATCTTCCTGAACCCTGACTCTCCCAACTGCATAACACTTCCCTGATGATGGTGTAGTTTTTAGGGCCAGAATTAAGGTTTGAATGAAAAAGACCAATAACCCAAGGTTTTTGTGGTTAAGTCACACATTTTCTGTACTTGGGAATGCAGAAGCCAGTATGCTTGGATTCAACTTCAGTTTTCCAATTAATATGATGAGCAACTATGGGTTCAATTTGTGTTGTGGGCAGAGGCCACAGGGGTCTCACCAATGGAGGTGAACTTAAGACCTCATGAATATTGAGTATGTGCTCTTGTGTATTTTGTGTGACGTTATTGTCGACTTGGCCCTTTCTTATTTTTTTTTCCATTTATGTATGTTGGCTTTCCTTAGTGTACCTGCACCTAACAAGTGTCATAGATTATTGACTTATTGACTACAGGTAACATTATCATGTGAATTCTGTGCTTCCTTCATGAACTACTTGATTTCATTTATTCCCCCTTATTTCTTCCTTCCTCACATTGCCAGTTTTAATATTTTAAATAATATAGTAAATGCAAATTGCTTAAGTTTTGCTTTTTGATTTTTGAATTCTTAGTTGAGATTATTCTTTTTCTCTCCTGCCTTATTCCACTGTTCAATTCCATTTCAGGGTGAGTTTTACTGAAGATATGTCACTTTGAGTTCTGAGCCATATATAGTTTCTGTGGCATTCTCTATTTAGAATACCCATCTTGATGGATTCATTATTCATCCTAACTATATTGATTTACATACCATTGGGGTTTCCACATTTACTTAAACCTTGGCATTAGTAGGAATCATATTCTGTCAAGTTTGTGAAGTTTTGCAAGAAGGTTTTGTTATTTATTTATATAGTCTATATCTGTGTATATATACATATATATGAGATAGGGTCTTCTTATGTGATCTAAGTGTGTGCCACAACATCTGACAGTTTTATATTTTCATTCAGCATGCTAAATTATTTTCAATACAAAGTCTTGCTTTGACAGGCAATTGAATGAATCATCATGTTTTAGCTAATAACTATCAGCTATGGCTGTATTGGAAAGAAAACAAACCAAAATGTCAATCACAAAACCTCCTTTTGGATTTTACTTTAACTCTCTTTTTTGCCCTTAAAATATAGCCATTTAAGACCTTGTTATCTGTGTCACAGATATTTATTTCTTCATTTTAACCCCTCAGTTTGACTGAAAAACTCACATAAATAATAAGAATTTTCATATCATTATCCCATGGTAATATTGCAAATTAAATTCCCCTGCTGACCCAAATTGCTAGTGTGGAATAAAATGGGAAATGAAGAGGCCGTGATTCTAATCAATAGTCTTTAAAAAAAAAGTAAATATTTTAGTGATGAATTTGTGGTTTAAATATTGCTATTTGATATATTTTAGGCAATAAAGTTTTATTTTCATTTTTATTAGTGTATTAATTTTGCAGTGGGGTACATTATGATATTTAGGCAATAATTTTTAAAAAAATGATGAATATAATTTTAATTTTCAAAAGTAAACAGTTGCTCATTTTGTTTTCTGGTCTATAGTGATGCTAAAGTCATGAATATGGGTTCTGACCATGGAGAATGTGCATTTTTAGCTGCAACAAGAATAACAAATATTAGTTGCTCTAAAACAAGCTATTGTATCTGTGAAATGAGAATCAACAGGATAGTAGGTGCTCAAATGTGCAAGATGAAGAAAAGGTAAAAATAGAATGTTGCCATTTTTGAGTATTTCCTGTAATATTTTGTGATTTCTTACAAATTTATATTTTTGACTACAGGACTGGAAATAGAGAGAAATGGACTGAAAGACGAACATGTTCTTATGGAATTTGAATTAGTACATCAGGTGACATCATTGTTCCTTATGAAGAGAGGAAGAGTTTGGTTTTGGAGACTGAGTTTCCTTTTCTTTAGTGGCTCTGAGGAATTATTCTCTCTAATTTCTGAACTATCCACAGAACCAACTAACCATGTTGCATAATAAAAATAAAGAAATTTCATATTGAAACATCACTATGATGCAATATGCAATTCTTGTTCATACTTTTTCAATAATGTAATAATTTGTCACTAGATCTGACTCACTAAATCAGGAGCCATGGCATTCTTGGTTTTGTTGAGGAAGAATTGAAGGATGGACACAGAGATGACTTAAGTAGGTGCAGGTTTATTAATACAAAGCAAAGTAAGTATACTCTCAATGATGGAGAGTGGGCAGGCTCAAGAATGTGTGGCTGTCCCTAGAGTACCAAAACCTTAAGATTTTGTTAGTGTATAGGGACAAGGAAAGTCATTTCTGGAAATCTGCATTATGTGTCATTAATTCCTGGAGGCTGTGCTATGCGTCATTCACTCCTCTTATGCATCAAGTGGGGGAGTTTATGGCCTTGGATGGTCAGATTGGGAATGTCCTTTCCCATAGGCTGCAGGGGCCGCTGTGTGTCAGGAGTGTTCTGTTAATATCAGAGCACCAGGATGTGATTTTTAAAAAATTACCATCCAACCCATTGTTCTTAGACAGGCATCAGGTTCCCTAACTCCCTGCCTAAGCCCTATGGCTATGTCATTTAATGATATTTTTCCTTTATGTGTAATGTAGTTGGTTGTGATGTGTTTTGGTCTGGAATAGTTCTTGAGGCTTTCTCTGTTTTTCTTGGCCTTGATATTTTAAAAGTGAACTGTTTTGTTAACTGTTCATGTAACAAAATGCACCTATTTAAAGTCTAAGGAATATGTAATGTATGTGTATATGTATGCATACATGTATATGTCATGTGTAGAAATTTATTACATTTTTTTCTAGACAGAGGACACTTTTATCTCCTGTAAATGTTTCTGTCTGCCTCTCACCATCCCCTGTCCCAAGGAAAGCAGTGATAAGCTTTCTTTCACTACAAATTAGTTTTGCATATTCTGAAATTTCATGCATTTTGTTTGATTTTGTATCTAGCTTTCTCTTACTGAGCATGCTTTTAAAATATACCAGTTTTTTCATATACCAGTAGTTCATTCTTTTGTTATAAAATAGTATTATAGAAATATAACATAAATTTTTGTTCATTCACAAGTGAGCATTTGATATATTTCCAACTTTTCACTATTATGAATAAAGTTGCCATGTAAATCTGTGTGAAGCTCTGTGTGGACATGTGTTGTTATTTATTTTCAGTAAATACCTAGATTGACACCCTGGTTACTGGGTCTTACGGTGAATGCATGTTTCACTTTTTAAGGATCTTCCAGGCTATTTTCCAGTGGAATTGCATCATTTTACTTTCCCAGCAGCAATGTATGAGAGTTCCTGTTTCTCCTCACCTTTCACAGCACTTGATATTGTCAGTTTTAAACTTTGTTCATGGTGAGTGTATAGTGGTACCTCATTGTGAATTTTAATTTTATTTCCCTTAAAGTCTAATAATATTATTGATCATTTTTTATTTTATTTTTTCAAGTGTCTGTACAT